GTAATTCCATCGCACCTAATCCTACTGACACTGCATCGCATATCTCGGGGTGATAGAACATCGGATAGGCCCATCCGATACAAATATCTTGGCAGTGAGTCTACTCAACAACTCCCCAAAATGTGGTGATACATCATGCATTCAAACTTATGTTGTCTACACCTCAACATGCACTGCACAGGTATAGAACATGAGTGTACTGTACAGTAAGCAGTAGGCATACTTCACAATAACAAGCAAGCCTACTGAACAGACTGCACAGTTACACCCACTTGAGACCAAAAGAGGTCTGGCCAACTCACCACAGGGACATCACCCTGCACCTAAGAAGCCCACCCAGCTTGCCCATCTGGTATGGCAGGACTGGCTCCCCCTGGCACAGCTTAAGTTGCCAACACCCCTATCTGCTTAGCTCCCTGCGGACTCTCTCAAACCCTTTTTTCTCTATGCTTAAGCCCTATGCTCTTTTTTCTTCTTCCTTCTTCTCTCTTCTTTCTCTCTTTAGCGCCCATTGAAATGCTATCCGTAGCCAACACCCATAATCCAACTACCTGACCCGGCACCTGCGTGTTTTTTTTTAGTCATGAATGTCTTCAGGCCCTGAATCAAGTTACTACTGTGTTGATTTTACTCTTAAAGAGGAGGTATCACACAATGATAATTTTAATTGAATTTTTTTTTTAAAAAAAAAATAAAAAAAAATAAAAAATACTGCACAGTTAGGCTGGCCTGGACTAATATGAGTACTGCAGTCAGAATACAACTCAAGATACTGTTACTCAGATGCTCTAATATCCCCCCCCTACCAACTGGGCAGAATCCCTTATAGGATATGCATATTTGTTTCTGGTGGAAGGGTGTGAACAAATCATGTTGTACACACATTTTGAGATGTGCACATGTAGTTTGGTAATGGGATAGGAAAAGTGGATGGATTTTCATGCTTGCCTCTATCTCACCAAATTTAGAGGTCACTATCTAAATTTTGAGGGCTGACTTTTAAATCTAGAAAGAGAGGTATACCAATGTAGATGTTCTTACCTATTCAATATGAAAACCAGTTAGATTTGTTGTGCCTTTTTTTTCTTTTTTGCAGGAAATATTTGCCTTTGGCAGTTTGCTTCCATAAATCTATATCTCTTTGGCTTTCATCATGAAGAGATTATCATGCATTCTCAACTTTTTTTTTTTCATTACCAGGATAGTTTACAAAAATCACTCCCTTCATTTCTCACAATAAAAACTTTGGGCCTTAAATCATATCTTCTTTTAGGCTGATCTTGTTAGAAACAAGGCCAAAGATTGCCAAGATACTCTTCCTGAAGATTATGTCAGTGAAGATTGCACAAAGGCAGGTGTTGTAATCTCAGCAGCTCTGAAGGACCCTGAAAGGAATGCTTGAAGCACCATTCAAAAACATCTATGCCACTCATGTTTCCTCATCTAAATCTATTCTTCTCACTCATTCTGAACCACCAAAGTAGTTTTTTTTTTTACTCTCTTAAGCTCCTCCATCACATTTTACCTGACAAGGATATCTCAGGCAAATCCTACAACTCTGACCTGGGGCAGCATGTCAGCATGCACTTGTGAACCATCAATAATGTGGAAGTTCAGGTGAAAGAATGGAAAGCTTGGATTGTATAGTAAACAAACAAAAGAAAAGAAAACAGTGTGAGTCAGCCAAAGAAGGATGGATAAGTTATTTATCTTCTCAATCAATGTTGAATCCAAATAGTCCTGAGTAATGAGAGGAAAGGACTATGACTATGAAACAAATAAAGACAGATAACAAGCAATAGAAACCTTACCTGTGAGTCAGCCAAAGAAGAATGGATAAGTTATTCATCTTCTCAATCAATGTTGAATCCAAATAGTCCTGAGTAATGAGGAAAGGACTATTTGGATTCTATGGCTGACTCAACAGATATACAACAATGGAGAATACCTGGGTATCACTAAGTTAGGTTTATACTTGGGTAAGAGAGAAATGCACAGTCATACAGGCATAGCAAACAAGAAACAGAAGAAATAGACATAACCAATACAAGGATAAAACATGTGACATTAACAAACAGGAGGTATACCTGGGGCAGCAGGCACTGCCAAGATATTTGTATCGGATGGGCCTATCCGATGTTCTATCACCCCAAGATATGCGATGCAGTGTCAGTAGGATTAGGTGCGATGGAATTACTCTCGGTATCTAATGCTCTGACACCATATTGCAGTGTAATTCCATCGCACCTAATCCTACTGACACTGCATCGCATATCTTGGGGTGATAGAACATCGGATAGGCCCATCCGATACAAATATCTTGGCAGTGAGGTCAGGGTGCACTTGTGGACAAGTAGCACACTGATTAACATAGTTCATCTATTTCAAACAATTTAGCCAAATAATTTGGTCAAAGATCCCATCCAAGATTCTCATCTATCAATTCTTTATTCAGTTCTTTACAAATTCATAGACTAAGAATGTGAGTAGTGAATAACCACCTTTTTCCTCTCAGTACCCTTGTATTTCTCTCTTCTGTTGTTGGAATACCACAATTTCAAGTGTCATCAATGTTGACAGGCAATGACCAAAATGCATTTCATAAGGTGTCTTCCCAATCGGTAGAGAAGAGGTTGTGGTTCTGTTCATAAGGTATATGGCAGCTATAATGGCATACATCCAAAAATGGATGGGGAGGTTGGCTTGGATGAGCAATGCTCTCGCCTTCTCTTTAAAGGTCCTGTTGGAGCGTTCAGCAACTCCGTTTTCTTCAGGAGTGTATGCAGCTGTTGTTTGAAGGTAGATACCTGAGTTTTTGCAATAGGGTACCAGAAGATCATTGATGAATTCTGTGCCATTGTCCAATGTTAGCATCTTGACTTTTGCATTGCATTGGCGCTTGGCAAGGGTAATGTACTGTTTGATCTTCTCAAGGACAACATCAGCTGCCTTAGTTGCTAGCCCTGCAACATGTCTGTAAGAAGAGAAGTCATCTGTGAAAAGGATATAGTACATGCTACCACATATTGCACTGGTCCTTATTATGCCACTGAGATTGATATGGACATTCTCAAGCAATTCCTTGCTCCTCTCCCGGGTCAAGTTGTGTGGAAGTTGGTGACCCTTTGCGAGATCACATACATTGCAGTTGAAAACAGAGGGAAACATGACATTTTAATATCTCCAATGCCCAGAGCACTCCCCTTCGACACCATCAACTTTAAGTACTGTATGTTGGGATGACCTAGGTGGCAATGGAGATGTTCAGCATCAGTGAGGGATGCCAATATTGTTGGAGATAGCTTGTAGGTCCTTACTGAAACATGCAAGAAGTCGATGTCCTTCATGAGTCTTCCCATGAAGGCCGTTTTCCCTCCCTGTGTAACCCTAAAGTTATCTCCCTCTTTGATAGTTATGAAGTTTTCTTTTAACAAAATGGTTGCGCAGATGAGGCTTCATTTGAGTGATGGCACATGTAGGCAGTTTTCTAAGATGAAACAGTGTCCCTCAGGGCCCTTGAAGCAAACTGTTCCTTGACCTAGGATCGGTAGTGTGGCTTCCCTGCCAGCCATTTCTAGGGTCTCACTGGCATCTGAGATATTCTCATATGTGTCAAACACATGTTGTTCTTTGAACATGTGGTGGGAGGCTGCTGTATCTAGAAGTGCCACAATGACTCCATCCTGATTGCAGAATGCTACTTTTGATGTGGAGAGCCGGATGGCAGAGATGTGGCTTGCTGATGCATACATTTGATTAAATGACACTTCCAGCTCTTCAATGGTTGGCTCATCCAATTGATTGGTATCACTGGATTGATGGTTGGCTGCCAATGCTGAGGCTTCAGCTGAGAACTTAGGGACCTCTCCCTTCCAATGACCAAGTTTTATTCTTTCAGTGATCCATTCTTGCTGTAAATGTTCGTTTCCAGGTTTCTTGAAGCACTGGTCAGGTGAGTGATTTGTTCCTAAGCATCTCAGTCTCATACACTTTCTGTTCTTGTTTCGAGATATTGCACTAGCCTCGGTGGTGATCTTTACTGTTGTATGGTTAGGATATTTCTCTCTAAGCATAGAATCAACTTGAAGTCGTTTCCTCAGTTCAGTCAAGACCTCATCATAACTGGTTATTCCTTTCAGTGATATTTCTCTAGTGTCATGGAAATATGTACTATTTAAGGACATCATCAACTTCCTGCCTAGGTCTGCATCTTCCATTTTTCCACCAATACTTTTAAATTTGTTCACTGCCTTATTGAAATTTTCCGTGTGGTTGGGTAGACTCTGATTTTGACCCTGCTGTATGGAATTCAGTGCCTGTTCATATAGCAGTATAAGTTTGGCGGACTTGGCAGCATGATGGTCATTTATTATCTTCCAGAGCTTGGCAGGTAGGTCTTGTGTCTCTGGGCCAATTTCGGTATGCATTGTGATTTTTGGTTCAAATCTACTTTGGTTCACATTGTCCATATGCCAAAGCAGCCATGCTGTGATGCATCACTTCATGACTTCGTGGATGTGGGACCCTTCCTCATCTTTGATATCATTGGTGCATATGTAGTCGAGGTAATAGTAGGACCCCAGGCCAGTTCTGACCTCTGCTGACCATGGAAGGAAATTCTCATCCGACAAC